ATACTAAAACTAGGGTTTAGTGAGAAGCAGAAAGGGAAATCTGGCATCACTTACTTTATTGAATTGATAGAGAGCCAATGTACACGTTAAGAAGGGTATCAGAAAGTAGAGTGACAGCAAATGTTCCCAATACTGTTCTTCTACACGCGTAACCTGAATGTGAGATTGATTTGATAATACGACCGATACCGATAGTCTATACGTTTACCATGAATCTTGGAAGATACGTAGCAGATTAGGTAATGAATGACGCCGACTCTGAGCGCACATACACACTTGAACAGGACACGTACTCAAATCTACACATGGCTGCGCAAAGCGCGCCCCATGACCCGGCGCCAAATTAGCCAGCGCGCATGGTTTACGATGCCGGAGCACGCTAGGTACTTTGAACTCTAAGATTTTACGCATAGAGTGAAGGCAATGTAACCGAGGATTCTTCGCATACGGTGGAATCAATGTAATCAGTGATTCTTTGCATATCTACCCTAGTTGGTAAGCAAAGAATCATTGTACATTGCTTGATCATGGTGGAAATGTGACCACTGTGGCCTGCGCAAGGTTGCATTTACAACGTGGGGTATCTGTACCTACACTTTCCCGACGGTTCTGAGTACTATGCTTATGAGATGACGGATGCTTGTTTGTTCCATCTCATTTGGTGCAAAGTAACATTTCGGATTTATTGGCCCATTCAATAGAGCGTGAGACAGTCACACTGGTATGTTATAGTATGATCTCTGATTATAAAACGTGGGCATTGAAATCATGAACTTTCTTGTAAGCCACACAGGTAAACATGATAATAAACCTATGTGGCGTACAAGAAGGTTCATGATTTCAAGTCACACTAATGTTTTTGTTGGCATGCGTTCGCTTTTCATCGCACAGACATTAATTGTCAACTTAAGAAAAACAGGAGCAGGGCTTTCCTGATCAAGAACCATCTCGTTCATGCCTTCAAATGGATTGCTTGTTGAAATGTTAAGTTAAATATGGGTCAATTTGTCCCCACCAAAACTTATAGGCCAAACTCTATCTCAAGAAAACGTAAATGCGGTTCCACACAATCAGTTTCGAGAATTGTTGTTTAACAATGATGGATGCCTTGCAAAGACCATGGGCGAAATTAGTTTGGAGTTACTGTCCACTAATGCTTCAGGTTCTTCACATTTTGTTTAGAACACAACAGAGCATGCAATTTAACAAACTAGATTGTCACTACTTACAAACAGTTGATGGAATCCACTAAGTCAAGTGCAAGACCAACGAAAAGTGCTTGACCGCCTCTATTCCCATGTTTCGGAAAAGCCCATACATGAAGAAGTGAGTGAATGACACGAGGATCTCAGTAAATCCTTTGTTTTTCGATCCATCGATCCGCGCACTGTTCTAAACTCAACGCGTCTATGCATGCCTTATGATGCTTAACAAGTGCTTTTTCGCTCCAGTCACCAATCATCATATGACTGTGTCCGATGGCTTCAAGCCCATCCGTTCCTGCTCTTTGGAGGGTGCACATAGATGTGAAACAGCAATGCATTCATGAAAAACAGGCAAGCATCGAGAAATTCTGTTACGAAACAGACTTGATCCCTAGGTTTCAGTGAAAATTAAGAGCTTTTCTACAATGCCTTTTTCGAACATTAGTCAAATGAAAAGTTTTATCAGGATGGACTGAGGCATCAATACTTCTTTGGTTTCTAACGAAAAGAACTGGATAGAAGTTCTAAGATAGCTTTCAACAAATCAATCAACAAAGAAGTTCTGAGATGGTTTCGTTAGAAGCCAACTTAGAACTCCTATCCACTAGTCTTCAATTGGACTTGCATCAAACGCTGGATAGGAGTTATGAGAAAGTACATATCGTATGACTGGCACTATACGACACGTTTATGGACAAAGACTCGGTCGTAAGGACAGAAATCAACAATACCTACAATACAGCTTTAGCCGCCTATGTCAGAGAACTTTCATGAATACTCTCTCCAGCTTCTTAATGAAGAAACTGTGGTAAATGCAGAAGGTGGACATTTTTCAAATACGTAAACGAAGAGAAATCTTAGAAGAGACCCCTACTTCGCAAGTGTGAGCCTTCAATTACCATGAGAAAGCGCTGAGCATATACGGAATATCACCTTACGTTAGATTTGAGGTGCTAATATGTGGAAGACCTTCAGGGAAGACAAGTGACAGCACTCATATAACCTATTTACGCGTAGAATAGAAGTCCACAATGTCTAGCGTGCCCCAACAGCGAAGATCCTGCGCGCCGGAGAAATTCGCACTGGGGCATGGGGCGCGCTTTGCGCAGCCATGTGTAGATTTAAATACGTGTCTTGAACAGGCAATCCGCCGTGGAGTTCAAGCATGAACAAGTGCGAAACAAAAAAGTAGACTCACTCGGATTATATACTTTTTGTTTCGAAAATCCAGAATTAATCAGAAAAACCACTCCATCAATAGTCAATGATGTCTCAGCAAGTCGAAAAGAGCCAAGCACTAGAAGAGACTAAGTGCATCCGCACGAAAAATTGAAACCTAAACCTGAAAACGAGGAACTTACAACAACATAAAAGCCAACGCGACAAAGAGCAACGCGGAAAAGAAAAAAACGGTAAGAAACGCGGAAAAACAACAAAATCCTAAAAACAACGACTAAAATATGAAGAAAGAGCGTAAACAGAGGACTCATCACCGTGGAGTTAGACGTTTGCTTGCTACGCGCCAAATCGATACGCAGCCTGCTCCGGAGCCCTCCCATTTGTGCTCCGGGGCCCTCCCATTTTCTGCTCCGGAGCCCTGCCATTTTCTGCTCCGGATACCTCCCATTTTCTGCTCCGGAGACCTCCCATTTGTGCTCCGGACCCCTCCGATTTTCTGCGGCGCGGCTCTTCCAAATCTGGCGGACTCGCGCCGGGCAAATTTCTCCGGCGCGGCTCTGCCAAATCTGGCGTACCTCCGGAGCAGAAATGGCGTACCTTTGCAGCAAGGCCGGAGAAGCGTCTCATTTGCCTGCCAGTGATGTCACCGCGACCTACAAGAAGGGACCGCCCATTTGCCCCGCTCTCATTGGTCAACTGGGTCCGGCGCGACTCTGGCAGATTCCGACTGTCCGGCGGAGGGGTCCGGTCGATTGTCTGAGAAGTTCAAAGAACTGGAACCCGCAAATAATTATACGGGTATTACGTGCTGCACAGAATTGTGCGGAGGATTAGGATGCTCCTGCGGATACCCTTCCTCGGGATGCCTCTTTTATAAGATATATCACGTACCCGTTAGCAATCAAACAAATGAAATATTCCAATGCCCTTCCTGGAAAGAAAAAATAACATTGATTTATGAGGAATTTCAACTTGAAACACCCCTCAAATACAAATTAGAGTTAGCACCACACGTAAGGAAACATCTTGGGAACACAAAAATCGAAGTGCTCGCAATGAGTTGGGAAACTATAACACTTTTATCAAAAAGATTCATAGAAGAAAAGACCACATTTAGCTATGCTTGCCAAAATTTCAAGCACACAAATGGAAGTTGCAACATTGAAGACACCTGCAAGTGTAACTCAGCCGAAGACTACATAATGCTACTGTGTTAATAACAATGCCAGCGACAGCATGCAACGTCACAATACGTTACCAGTACCAATACCAAATGGAATAGTCAACGTGGAAAGCAAGTACAATATTTCCACAGTAAGAGCCAAAGCTATCTCAACTGAAATAGCCATTACACTTGACCCCTCAATCATCAAGGTAAAACAAGAAATCACACAATTTTCATGCCATGTTGTTCCGCAGGGAATAATAGGCTTCTACAATTGTTGGAAAGGAGCTACGGCAACACTTACTTGCTACGCAAATTTAAACAAAATAACAACTCAAATAAACTGTAACACAAATCAGTTTTTAATTGAGTGTTCACAAGATGGCACGCAAAACACAATCCGACTTTATTTCAACAAAGCGAAGGTGAGCGAGTAATGTGGCAATCAACAAATAGAGGCAAAATGTGGCAATCAACAAATAATTTTTGAAATTGAAGGAACACTCAATTACATAAATGACATTTAACCATTCATGCATTATGCCAAGAAATGGGGCAACACTTTAAACGACGGTAATCCTTTCATTTTCAATTACCAGATTTTTCACACATTCTTGATATATACAAGTCCTATGTGCTCTATACAGTAACCGCACTTGCCGCGCTGGTATTTTCTGTAGTTATCAGCGCGATCTATCTGAGCAAATGCTCAGCAAGTGCAAAAACATACAAAGGAAATGGAAACATCAACCCAAGATTCTCAGTTACAAGCCTTTTTCCGCTGCTACGAGCGGCCGTTATAGTCTTCTTTCTCTTCAAAGTTATTTTCAAGATCCCTTTCATAATATTCAAATTTTCAATCCGCTTTACCCACTTCCAAAGATTGCAATGTTAATGTAATGTTGTCGCGTTACTTGATAATATTGCAACACAAAAAACGGAAATCAAATAAGCTTTTTTCAGAAAAATGGCTGAAGGTCCACAACAAGACGAGCTTGATAATGAGGAAATGGAACAGCAGCAACAAGAACAAGAGGAAACGGAACATGAAGCAAGACCTCGCCAACAACAACCAATAGAAGTAAATGTGAATGAAATCTTTGCGGAACCCGACACCCAGCTCCAATTCCATGGCAAGGATTGCTGCCATCAATTGAAAGGAAAATCCAGGAAATCGAAAGAATCCAAGACACGAATTTTGCAAGGATCAATAGACGTCCGGACTATTCAGTGGTAAGGCTTATATAAGTACCCTTTATAATCTAGTAAGGGTATGTTTATTCACGAACTGCAAAAGAAAACAAAATGAAAGTATGTGATTGAGAAAAGGAAAGAAACTAAAGGTATGAAAGAGAATAAAGATTTCACCATATAATTCAAGAAATTCATGTAATTGATTCGGAAACGACGAAAGAAATCCTCAACAACGAATGGAAAGGAGACAACGCAAAATGGGACCACGAGATGAATTTGGCGCAAACGCGGTACCAATGGAACCACCATCACAAAGGCCCAGACAGGAGGAAAGAGAACCATCGCCGCAATTTGGACCAGCCGGTAACCAGCTAGGTAATCAGCCCGCCCCCCGCGTGGGAACCCTAACAACTGTCTCTTTTGTAATGGGGAACACTGGGCAACCGAGTGTACGCAATACAGAACACTATCACAAAGAAGACGGCAACGGGTAATGGAAACTAACAAGTGCGAAAGATGCTTGGGCGGGGCTGACCATTTGGCAACGTCCTGCCCGGCAACTTCAAGTTGCTTTTTGCTGTAGGCAAATGGGAAGGGGGAGGTAACCTCCCATCATTTAGCATTTTGTCCGGCAAGGTTTGGGTTTTGAAAGAAAATGAAAAGGAATTGAAAGAAAAAAATTTTTTTTTCGCAAAGGCAATGCAAGTAATACAAGTTCGGCAACGCTTCACTTAAGGTAAAATTGATTGAGCTATGATGTAGTAGTCTCTTGTGACGTAAACCTTCTCGTATTGTGTAATTGTCAATATAATTGTACCTTGTATTGTTTTCCTGTGAGGTAAAATCATATATTCATGATGCCTGAAAATATTAGGTTGTCCCGAAAGTTTTGTCGGTTTCTTTCGTCGCTCACTAAAACTCACAGAACACCTATCCATGGGTGGCTTAGGCACCATTCGATTCAGATTTTTATCCTCTTTCTTACAGTTATACTTGCTCTCCAATCATCTACTCTGCCTTCGCAATGTTATCGTCATGGCTTTTTGAGCAGCCCAGCAGTAACGCCAAATCTTTCCTGAATTCTAGAATTTTTTATTCTTATGTTTCGAAAGAGCTTTGGTAACTATTATGTAGAGCAAACCTTTGGCTAATTATATTCATTTTAGATTACATGAGCCGCGTTTACCAAGTCCGTTATAATTATTCATTCAATAAAAACAGCGGCTTTTCTGATTAAGTTCAACATGTAAAAGTACCAAAAATTCCAAAAAGCTGTTTTTCAAAGCGAATCAAAGTTGGTTATGTTGCATAAATAATGTTTAGTAAGAATGTTTCAATACGCAGAAACTTCAAAATCTTTCGTGTATTTGATGCAGTTGCGTGTTTCATGACTTTCCCAAAACTCGAGACCGGAAAAATAATTTCTTGAAGCTAAAAACAGCAGATTAGAAGAATCTAAAATTACTAGCTTGTAGACCGAGAATTACTCTATTTGATCCGTACTTAACCCTTTTCGAAACTTTGGAATGAAATTTTTGAAAATTAGTCTAACTTTGAGCAGATGAAATTGACGGGTGGAGAATTTTGGCAATAATTAAATAAAGCATACAATACTGTGGTATGAGAGTGTAACCTTAAGAAAGAGAAGGAAAAGCTGTATTGAATGCGTGTTGAAACTCACTCAGGTCTTTATTGTGCCTGGTTTTACAGTGGTTTGAAAAAACCGACAAAACTTTCGGAACGACCTAATACAATTATAGCAACTCTTACAATACTGTATAGCATGTTGTATGCCTTTTATCCATTGTATTGCTATTGTTTTTTTATGATTCGTTTTGTTCAACTGTTGCAAGATGGAAACTTACGACTGAATGAACCTGCACTGAAACTGCATTATAGTATCTGTATGTGGTGTTGGTAGTCATTATTTGTACAAATAATTTCTTACTCGCATCAGCTGCAAAACAATACCTAATTATCAAGATTTGATGAGACTATTTTGAATCATACACCTCCTCTGCGCCGCTTAAGACAATACTAAAAACAAAATTTAAAAGCGACACCTTTAGGAGCTACTCCTCTAAGTTTGCCTCTGTAAAAGATACCTCAAAGATTATCAACAGAATCCTGTCGAGTATGATTTGTCAAAGTTCATTTCCTAAGCTGTAAAGCCGTCTTGAACGGAAAGCATTGGTATGAGACATTTTCTTGTGCTAGTTTAGCGTCTGGAGAAGATCTGCAAGTATGAGTGAATGATTCAAGCTTCAAGAATCATATCGTCAGCGCATCACCTACGAGGAAAGATGGTGCGCTGGTGCGGTATGTCACAAATTACAAATTCTGGTGTTGCAAAAACGTATTCCAATCAATCATTCTCTTTATCAAACTTTATAAAATGATGAATACTGTCATGAATCGTTGAAATTCATGATTTCCGCATCACGTCTCGTTATCGCAGCTTTCTCACAACATCGTCGTCGACGCCTCGCTCCGCACACGCTCTTAAGCAGCAAGGACAAGAGGACAGCCCCCTTCGGATAGACACCTAGTATCCTCCCCGAGGCAATAGGAAATCTCCAGAACAGGTAACTATGAATAACGGTAACAAAGGGAAAGCATGTAGTAATGTAAGTAACAATGTAATCCACTGTAGATGTGTGTAAACTATCTATGAATAAATTATTAACAATGATGTGAAGAGAACCCAATAGGCTATCGGCCACAAGTCCAAACAAATACTGTCTCGATTTAGTTCAAGCTGCGACCGCGACTGGCCACTTTTGTTTAGGTTAACGTTTCGGCAATGATCCCTTCTTCAAAGCCCGAAATGGGCAAAAGCAATTTGGAGACTACCCTACCATACGACTCCTCAATCTACAAGCAAAATTCTACGCTTTCTTTCAATCAAAAGCAGTCTGTTATACGCAGTATTACCTCTTGTTCGCCCTCAAAATTCTGGGAGATCGCTTACTGAAACCGCTTGAAAAGAAATCAACAAGTCTTCACAGTAGGAGATTGATCTACATATGGCGCAAGTCTTCGCGTGATAAGGAGCCATTCTTTTTAAGATTCATTTTAGAGTTTCCATGAATCCAAGAGGCCTCTGTAAATTTGCAATGGATGTTTGAGCTTTACGCGCTAGAAGCTAACTTTCAAGTTAAAACCAACTCCTTGATGTTTGCACTCTGTGGGTACCCAAAGAAATGGATGTGCATGATCTATCCCTACATTTGAGATGTTTCTCAAAGGCAAAGTCCCACCAAACTGGAGGGTATCTGGCTCTGGTAATAATGTAATAGTAGACCCTTTTACTAGGCGGCGACAGAATTTGCAGCGCAAACGGTCGACAATGGGGCCTACCGTAAGAGCAGGGCCACTTTCAGAGCAAATTTCAGGCTGATAGACCCCCTTTTAACTCCTAACTTCATTTATCGCTTAGGTAATGGGTATACTTCAACATTATCACAAAAATCCAGCACCCATCTTTTGCCGTGACGCTGCCTTTAATACGTATGTTTAGATGGTGGCCGTTTCTCCGATATACATACGAACAATTTAGAGCTTCGATTTGTCTAACGTCAAGCTTAGAAAGTCAAATAGCATATCTCATTAGTAAAGCTAAACTGCAATGACGGCTACAAGTTGTGAAAAAATTTTTTCGGAAAAAGGAGCTCGCGTGAGTTGCAAATCACTGATACGTAGTCATTGAGTGGTTCGATGGTTTCACAAATGATGAATAACTTTGAATGCCTTGAAATCCTAATTAGGTGAGAAGAAAAGAGACTAACCATAAACAAGCAAGCTTTGAGCTAATAGTAAGCACAAATATAGTCTTTGTAAACGGCCGAATTAAGAAAACTCTCTGAGAGAGTACAACTGTTTCGTGTAATTTTCCCGGTCTGATGTGTGATGACGATCAGCTGATGTGGCCCGGTCTAGCCCGGGCCACATCAGCTGATTCTTGCTCCAGCCCTCTCCCCTCCCCCCCCCCCCCCCACAACCTCACCTTTCCATCTTAATGCTGCGTTACTGGGGGTTTTATGTACCAAAGAAACTTACCCGTTGTAGGTTCATCTTGAATCGCCGCATCCATCCTATTGCGAGAATCGAATGAACTCTACTGCTATTGCTTACATATTGTTTACACGAAATCATGGAAATGACTCGTTAGCCCATGTTGAGAACTCATCCATATGCCAAAAATCAGTGAATCAATAGAGTGGCCCAGCGAATCGCAAAAAGTAGCGCTAAACCACCTCCGGGGTCTGATACATATGTGTGCAAAGTTCCAGCTCAATCGGTTCGTTGGCGGGCGTTTCTATAACGAACGAACAAATAAAAGAAAACACTTACAAAGTTTGAGTTTTATTACAGAGTGTCCCAGAAAGATGTGCACACTGTTCGATCGTTAATAATTTTCTTGCTTTCATGTCTTTTGCCGAGGATGAGGTACCATTCTGTAGAACGAGAATAAACTTAGATTTGCAGTTGGAGCAAATCATCAATCACTTTTCATTACTGTAGGATCAGGTATGAACTTTCAGCATGCAGCGTCATGTGGAAAAAGCCTTTTAATGAAAAAATTCCAAAGGAATCTAAAAATTTGTGTAGCAAGATTTTCGGGCGTGCTTATTTCACTACACAACTTCCCACCAGTTTTTCGAACTTTCTTGATGGCGCATTCACATTCCCGACGAACATTGGAAAATCAGTTGTTACCCTATATCTGAAATAACTCATGAAAGAAACAGTGTATTGAAGTGTAATTTTCATATTCAAAATCAGCGACTTTGAATAACCCAGTTCAAGAGTTTCTGGCTTGTTTGGCTTTTTTTTCTGAGCAAAATACCGTTTTCAATGACTCAAAATCGTTCTCGGAATTCCTACCTTAATCCTACAGTAATGAAGAGCGGCTGATAGGTCGCTTCATACTACAAATCTAAGTTGGACCTCGCTCTGAAGAATGGTACCTCAAGCTCGGCAAAAGACATGAGAGCAAGAGAGTTATTAACAATCAAACAGTGTGCACATCTTTTCGGGACACCCTCTATATATACATATATTAGGTCGTCCCAAAAGTATTTTCGCTTTTTTTGAACAAGCACCACAGTCCGCAGAACAAAGATTTATAGGAGATTTTGGTAGCATTCGATGCAGTTTTTCACGCTCTTGCAAATGATCATCATTGTAATGCAGACGAAGCAACAAGCTTTCAGAAAATTGTTATAAACTGCGACCCATGCTTTTTACCAAGGTCAAGCTCAGCTATTTTTCTAAAATCTTGTACTGTCCCCCCTAAGAAGTCCAAGTAACCTGTCGATAGAGCAAACAATGTTGGATGCAAAACAATTTTTGTTCTTTCCATAGCTTACTTTAAAAATTTTTCAAAATTATTTTTCGATGCTATTAAATTCCATATTTGGTCAACTTAAACCTCATAGAACAACAGCCGGCGAGCAACCGGGTGTTATTCGACGCAGCATTTTCTCCTCTTTCAGAGACATATTTCTTGTTCCTGATTCGAAGAGTCTTGGAGGATAAAATCGACAAAATTCATGTATTTAAGAAACCCTAGGCTGTACCGACAAATCAAAAATTAGATATTCTGAACTCCGGAATGCTCACTTGCTTCGTAAAATTAGTGCTAAATCCTAATCCATTTTGAAAGTATCAAAAATCAAGAATTTAGTGGATTTTGCCGAGTCTGCGTATGGTATGGAATTCCTAAAATTCGATGGTATTGTTCAAAATTTTGTCAAAAAATTATGGAGAGCCCCGAAAAGGAGATCGAAACTGTTTTGCATCCTACTTTGTTTGCTCTATCCGCAGGTTACTTGGACTTCTTCGGGGAACCAGTACAAGAGTCTAGAAAAACAGTGGAACTTGACCTTGATAGAAAGCATGGGTCGCAGTTTATCGCAATTTTCTGATAGCTCATTGTGTCAACTGCTAAACAAAGATGACCAATTAAAAGAGCATGAAACTGCATCGAATGCTGCCAAGGACTCCTATAAACCTTTGTTCTGTGGACTGTGACGCTTGTTCAAAAAAGCGAAAATATTTTTGGGACGACCTAATATATAGATTTCTACGAGTAAGAGACGCGAGACCGCATTGCGGGCATTTCTTAACAAGTTTGAGTTTGTTCTTTCCTGTTTCCAAAGAGCGAATAAACCCGGACGAGATGAATAACAAGTATAAACCTGCTAAGTACACGATTAGGCTTGTTTAGACAGTATGTGCAATGCGGTCTCGTGTTTCCTAGTCCTAGAATGAATGATGACTAGTTTGATGAATACAGGTTTATGCTTTTGAGGTTAATTTCTACCTCAAAGTTAAGGCACCCATGAGAAAATTTCATTGTGATCATGTTGTGAATACGAGTTATAAGCCAAAATGGTTTGAGAGTTCATTGATGAATACGGCCACAGCTGCCTCCTCTCACCAAATATAAAAAAAGCAGAAGGCAGATTGTCATATCTCACCCTTAAGCTCAAAAAAAAGATCGCCCAAATGTAAGGCCAAGCCACTTTACTCTTCTCCAAGATTTAGTCGGAAAACGACTCTTTAGAAAGAGCTACAAGAACTTGAAGGGTAGAACAAGCGAGAATATCTTAGTACCAGCCCCTTCAGGTAAGCATTTATGGTAAATGATAATTGTAATGAACCTGAACCTCGACAAAACCAGCAAGAAATAATATGAAATAACAAGTCACTTCTTGTATTATACTACCGCCTGTAAACTCTGCCAGATTCGCAAAGATTCCTCTTAATATCGAATCGCTGAACTATGACCTATTCGAAGTCACCTCTCGAACTTGGCAACGAATATTCGGATTGCATAGGTCCTTTGCCTAACACTAAATGCGAATAAATACATCATTTTTGTGGACCCGTTTTCGAAAGTTATGGTGAAGAGTTTTTTCCCGACCACAAAGTAGCAACTACATGTAACGTGTTCTTACACAGATTTGTTTCCCACTCTGGCCCAACGGAGTTACTGATCACGGCGGGGCAAATCATATGAGTGACACCTTCAAAAACACCCTGAAATTATTAGGAGTTAACACAATACCAGCACTCCATATCACCACCAATCCATTGGCTTGATTGAGCGCGCCAACCGTACCTTAAAGGCAGTGTCCAGGCTAAACCTAACCCCCTCCGATTAGTGTCGATCCTGAATGTAGGCCCCGGAAAGGGGAGGGGGCATCTGCGTTTGTCCGGTCTTCTAACGTTGTCTCTGAATGGAGATAAGGGGGCCTTAAAGTCCCTGGCTGGGCGGAGTCTGATATCAGACTCCGCTCACCAGGGACTGCTCACTACCCTGTCAATACGTGCCTCGGACACGTACTGACAAGGTAGTGAGCAGAAGCTGCACACTGCACACTGCACACTGTAATGCAACTGCACCCATGCAATTGCACCTCCTTTTCGCTGGCCTGCCGACGGGGACGAGCAATTCGAAACTCGTCCGCGCCCTCAAGATTGGGTCCTCGAAAATCGGGTTTTTTTGTGAATTTTAAAAAGTTTGAAGTTCGGAACTGTAATCAGGACCACGGAAAGGCCCTAGAATGACGAAAACACGTCAGAAAACTGGAAGTTTTTCTCTTGAAAACCTCATCTTCAAGAGCTTACAACTCAATTCAAGCTCTGTCCCTATGTCTGCTAATTAGATTATTTTGTAGCCGCAGGCCAATAGTATAGTTGTGTATAGAAAAAACTCCAACGAAGGAGTTCTGCGAAAAAGAAAGATAAAAATTCAAAATGTTCACTCTTTTGAGCCTATTTGTTGTAGGTTTGTAAGTGCCTAACTATGAAAATTTGGAATTCTTCGCGCACTGAGTAGCTAAGTTTCTCTTCAAATAATGTAGTTGAGGTGTGCTAATTTCAAGCTTCCAAAAATGGGCGAAGTCTTGAGATCGTGCAGAAAAGTGGAAAAATTTGATTGTTTCACCAAATTCTGGAGAAGCACATAGCAAAAACGAACAATTCAGGTTTTTGAGCGTAAAACATGAATATTGTACGCGCTCGCAAGATTTCAATATGTGCAACGATTTGGCCATATAAGAGCAGACTTGAGCGATCTATACCTAAAAACTGTCATGGTGGCTGTATAGCAAAGCTTGTATGTATCAATTTACCAAATAACTCAATTGTCGGCTCACTACAGGCTGTGAACAAACTTGAGAAAGCTATAAAAGTGGTACTTCAAAAGGCTAGCCAAACAGGGATACGATTGTTATTGATTTGCGACATATATAGATGATAAGATTTGTTCGAGATGTAACGGATGTTTGATATTCAGAGAATTGGAGCTGCCTTTCCAGAAAGAAACTTGACCGAATGATAGCCACATAATTTGCAAGTTTCATACTTGCAGTAAAGCGAAATCATTTATTAGCTCCCCTCTCCCCCCTAGCCCCTAATAGTTTGTTCTGTTTTCTTCCCCTTCCTCTAATCCAATCTTTTGCAGAAATTGTTGCACGAGTAGTCAGTGGCATCTGCAGTCGACCAAACCTCTCTTGTGTAGAAGGGCAGGATTACGTCACGGAGACTATGCGCCAATGCTGGTCGGAATATTCGGAGAATCGTCCTGATTTCAAAAGTGGCATCCGGCAGAGGTTGAAACCGATGTTTGCTGGAATCTACAAAAGGAACACCATGGTAGCTAAATCTCGCACTATTTACTTAGGTATCAGGTCAGAGCTGAATATGAGTTGCAGAACCATATGATGGTGATGATGAAGAAGTACCAAAATCAACTAGAAGATCTGGTCGACGAGCGAACTGCGGAACTACGCGAAGAACAGAAACGAAGCCAGCATCTGCTACAGAGAATGTTGCCAAGGCACTAATTCATGCTTTTCCATTATACCAGAAGCGGACTGAGGGGGAGAGCGGGAAGGGGAGAGGGAGAACTTTTGAAAGTAGCCTATATAAGTTTCAGAATTGTTGAAGTGATTTGTCTCAATAGTACCAAATAATTGCTCACTCAGAATTGTCTAGAGGTCAAATAAGCTGGGCAACTGAGGAAACCGCTTCAGAAGGTAGAGGCAGCCCGCCCATCAACTGTATTATAGATCCCAACTGGTCATCGACTTGGAACAGTAGTCAAAACCAGGCGTAGAGGGATTGCCCAGCTGCTGTGACTGCACAAACTTCGCTAGAAATGTCTCGCTGAGGTTGTCCTTCAGAAAGGATGGAAATCAAGTGGTGCGCACTTGCATATGCTGAAACTGGGAATTCAAAAAAGTACTCAAAGTTGAAGTTCAGTAACCATAATGAACCAGTCACGATCAAAATTGGAATTTCTATGTTTTCGAGGTCCTCCATTTCATTTCAACATAGTCTATTTTGTGTAAAAGGCCAGGACACAATTACGAACAAACTTTAAACATCAGAATTTAGCGGTTTGAACTGGAGACGCCTGTTTTCAAACTTACATCAGTGGGATAAAACTACTCAGACACTCGCTGCGGCGGCGGGCGCGCCATAATAGCGCTACAGTGCGAGCGGCGCGCCCTATTTAAAACTGCCGTGCGAGCGGCGCGCTTTAATTGAAGCAGCAGTGCGAGCGGCGCGCCATAGTTGAGGCTGCAGTGCGAGCGGCGCGCCATCATTCGCAGCCAGCGAGCGGCGCGCCTTATTACGGCCGCCGGCGCGCCTACTCGACACTCGGCGCGGCGGCGCGCGCGCCATTACAGCACTGTATTGCGAACGGCGCGCCCTAGTTGAGAGTGCGAGCGGCGCGCAATTTATTAGTGAGCCGCGTGCCATGATATTTTCCGCATTCCCACACGCTGTAAGCACAAGCGATACCCGCGTGAAGTACGACGCAGTGTTTTGGGTGCTTTATCGCTAATTCATTGAAGTTATCGCTGTTTCGCAATGGAGTTGTCTCATTAACAGAAATGGGATTCTTCTAGTTCTTCCACTGAGAGTCAGTCCTCATAAGCACTGCGAGTAGGTGCCGAGGTTAAATTCAAATTGAAAATTGGAATTCTTGAATTTTTGAAATTGGCAATTGGCGAATGGCAATATTTATACCGTGCGAGCGGCGTGCCATTATCGTGTGGCGCGCGTCCCATATACTCACGGCGCGCGTACCATTTACAGTCTGCCCCAATCCTAACCAGGCCAAAATCGGCATGGCGGGAGTTCGCGCCGCGAGGTTTTCGCGCCACATCTGCGGCTAACTAGTCTGCTCTCTCCTCGATCTCTTCACTCTCTGCGATAGCGCGCGTATGCAGCGCAATCCCCTAGCGCTGCGAGCGCGCAGATTCAGCCGACGGTTCGGCCTGATCCCGATTGGGGCAGACTGTACTCGCGGCGCGCGCACCATTTACTCGCGGCGCGCGTTCCAATTACTCGCGCGGCGCGCGCGCCATTTGACGGCCGGCGGCGGGGGATATGAGCGCCCGCGCGCACTTGGCGCGCGCGCCGCCGCAGCGAGTGTCTGAGTAGAGACTTGCCTGTACTTGAACACGGTACATGTACTCGATTACATGTTTTCGCTCTTCCGCGTTGCAAGGTTATGACCTCATAAAGGTTTCCTTCGAGCAGAATGCCGCAGACGCATTAAGGTTCTAACCTACATCTTATGTAGTCATGACTAGTTGACTATCACTGATTCGGAGACGCCTCATGATTATCCATATTTATTATCAAGAATGACTTGACTACAGTTCTCTTGGCTACAAGCTATATACCTGTTGGCGCGATCTTGTCAGTCACATATCCATAAATGATTAGTGATGTCGTATAAAATGTCTATGTGTACTGGCATGAAACTCGTACCTATAGTTACAAATGGCTGCGAAGAGTGCGCCCCATGACCCAATACAAATTGCGCTTCCGCGCGGGACTCTTGTCGATACAACGCTCACACCCTATAACTTTCAATGCGACCTGAAGGGAAAACCCTTATCTGGGAGAATCATGATTGCTAAATGATTATTGCTATAAACATAAAGCTGTCGAACTCAAAGCAAACTTACAATACTTAGTCACAAGCTAAACTTCCTCCTTTAGCGAGCTGAATGTGCAGCTGACTTCTTCATGGCTGTCTTAGGAGCACAACACATTGCTAAGGCTGCCTTACGCTTATGCACCCATCACCTTTTTTCCATGCTAAGTTCGTGGTCATCGGATCAAGAAACATTGATGTGGATGGTATTATGTGACTAGACAAGCTTTCATCAAGCGAAGAACAAATGCACTTGTTTTCTGATGATTCTACTGTAAGAAAGAGTTGTTTTCCTTGAGCGTAGCTTACATCGCGAGGAAGGTTATGGGGTACGCTCGCACAATCGACAGGAGTCCCGTGCGGAGGCGTAATATGCACCGGGTCATGGAGCGCGCTCTTCGCAGCCATTTGTAACTATAGGTACGAGTCTGGCATGAACTCGTTATCTAACCATTCACTTTGAACATTTTGCTGAACTTAAACTTAGATTTTGAAAAATTGTTTGAAAAAGGTGCTTTTTGTGTTTTGTTTTGCGAACAATCATAGCTATGCAGAAGAACAACCTCGAAAACATAGAAATTCCAATTTTGATCTTGACTGGTTCATTATGATTACTGAACTTCAACTTTGAGTACTTTTTGAATTCCCAGTTTCAGCATATGCAAGTGCGCACCACTTGATTTCCATCCTTTCTGAAGGACAACCTCAGCGAGACATTTCTAGCGAAGTTTGTGCAGTCACAGCAGCTGCGCAATCCCTCTACGCATGGTTTTGCTACTGTTCCAAGTCGATGACCAGTTGGGATCTATAATACAGTCGCCCATCAACGTGGGTGGTTTGAAGATAAAAAGTCCAAATTAAGTTTTAATTATCCAGAACTGCGTGGACCCTCCCTTCATCATGCTCAGCGAAACTGCGACATTTCTATCTCCAGTCCCGCTTTCAAGCTCATTATCTCCAGACAACACATGCTGATGGCCGAGCCAGCATAGCTGTCTACCTTTTGGAGGGGTGTACGTCAAGAGGCGCCAAGATTTTTATTGCCAGATGGATACGAATTAGCGCATTTTTAGTATTTCATGATGTTCTGGCAGCGATTCAATTTTTTATAGATACTATGATCGTCGCATGGGTTGCTCAATCTTACTATTCTAAACTAGATTCAGAACTTAAGTGTTGGAGGTCAAAAACCTTTTGAAATAAACTAATGGCGTTTTCGTGAATATTTCAATCAAGTCTCCACCAAAAGCCGTCAAAATTAGCAGGTGGTAGCTTCAGATGCTTAATAAATATAATAAAGCGCAGGGGGGACCATGTGACTCATGCGTTTGTCGCTATGTCTCGAATGCACCCAATGCACCCAGGATGTCTGCCTTCCGAGATGTTGACTGGAACGCCCTTTCGTGCTCAACTCCATAAACAGTACTATCGACTAGCATTATTATCACCAAGTAACAGCTCGCTTCATTTCAATTAGCGCATTAGGATGTGTCAACTTTGGTATCAGTCTATTTTAGTTGCCAATTTCTATAACTTAATTGTACAAAAGCACTGCTTTACAAAGTTGTAAGTGGTGCAGCAGAAATCCCAGATGGGATTTTCCCTCATGAAAGTTCTCGATTTTGATACACCAACAGCCGTATTTTTAGTAATTGTTTAACACATATTGTGAGCAAAATAGTGGGATTCTGGCCGCATTGTAACTAAAGGGAGTGTGACAGGCTAGAAAGGCTTTCAAGGAAGGAAAATGGGGGAAAATTGAAATATGGCAGATGAAGTTCCGTGAATGGAAGTTAAATCGTAAGCACTTACATAAAGAGTCTGAGGAAAGGAGGCGGCGTAGGATGGAATTTTACTATTGACTTTGAGGTTAAGCGTAGAATCCCAATAGTAGAAGTCGAACTTTATTCGAAAACTTGGTAAAGGATGTTTGAGCAGTAGGTGCGATTTGAGAGGGAGGAAGAGGGAAATGCGGTCTCTCCTCATGAGGAATTATCGCAGGTGGAGCTTTTGGTAGAGTAGAATAGCCTGCACCTTAGCCAGCAAATTCTATGTGGTACTGTATAAAAAGCTGAATTTTGGCGAAAAGCATAGGCATACTTTCGATAAGCAACTTTGAGATTACGCGTTGTAATGGCAGCGTCAGCAGAAGGAGAACCCGAAAAGTAGGACAATAATTGCAGAAATATTCAAAGAGTTTCTACTTAGGAAAAGTTTTAGAAGATAATAAGTTTTCCTTCTAGAAAACTCTATTGGAAACTGTTTAATTATTTCGTTCGTAATCTTTCCTCTCTATTCTCCGTAGGTAGGTAACTAATGGGGAAAGAGAAAAGCAAAATCCGCTCAAAACTTCAAACGCAGGAAAATTGCACACATGAAAGTGATATTTACGTTGTTCTGTACCAGTAGGGTGCGGGGAGCTGGGGATAGGGGAGGAAGGGGGAGGGAGAGGGAGGAGAGAGGAATGTACTTGGCATGAACAGAAAAAGCCTGGAGTGGAGTCAAACAAGTTAGTGGCACGCTTCCGTAAAAGTTCTAGCATTGAGAGGATTTTGATGAAGCTAACGCAGCATGTGGCTACATAAAAATTTTGCGTGCCTGAAAGGCATTATGCTACATGGGGTTTGTATTCTGTACCAGTAGGGTGCGGGGGGCTGGGAGGGGCCGGGGAGGGGGGGGATGGGACGAGGGTAGGGGTGGGGAAGAGAGGGAGAGGAAGGTACTATGACACGGATATAAAAGCCCTGGAGTGGATTCAAGCATTTAGCGGCACTTAATCCAAGTTAAGAAGATTGTAGTGAAGCTAAGGTAGCATGTGGCATGGAGCTATTTGAGTTGTTGAAGAGTTAGAGAGCTGGAAAGTAACTTACTACTACTCTCTACACGTAT